GAGCTGAGCCGAGCCTCCAGGATGCTGCGTGCTGGCGATGGGTTGGGAGCCGAGAGCAGAATGGTGCTGTGGTTAGGAAGGATGTAAAGGTGTTTTGGAGCTGATGGGCACCGCGGTGCCAGGGTGCGTTGCTCTCCCTGGTGGGTTCAAGTTGAGCTGAGCTGGGCTGAGCACGGTGTGGGCAGGAGGGTTTGCTGCCTGTTTCAGGCAGAGCAGGGCAGGAGGAGGGCAGGAGAAGGGCTACATGTGCCTGCCCAGCACTGAGCTGCCTTCTCACGGCTGCAGTGCTCTGCCCAGAGTGAGTGGTCCCTGTCCATTGGAGCCCTCCTGGGCAGCTCTGCCTTGGGGCAGCAGGAGCAGAGTCCAGCCCAGGCCCCCCAGAACAGCCCAAAGCCAAGGCTATAACCAGCCACTCGCCTTGTGGCTGCATCTCCCGTCCCCTCTGATGATCCCCAGCTCCGTATTCTCCGTAGAGCCCAGACTGGAGAACCCATCTGCTCCCTCCATCCTCAGCATCTCCCTGCTTCGACTGATGGCCCCGGGCTTTGCAGCAGCTCTGGGCTTTACTGAGAGCGTTGGCCTTGGAGGAGCAGCAAAGCCTGAAGCTGAGTGCTGTGCAAGCCCAGCACCGCTGTGTCAGCGCCGTGCAAACCCCCACTGGGTCCCCGGGGCCTCATCTCACCCGATCCCATCTCATTACCTTGCACTTAAACAGCAGTGAGGGCACCCTGCTCTGAACATCTCCTTCCAGGACGCTGCCCTGGGCAGGGTAACCCATCCCTGCGTCCCTCCTCCACCTCTACAAGAGCCTGTGAGCAGGGATGGGACAGAAATGCCTCCTGTACCCCAATCCTGGAGCCAGCAGTGACAGTGCCGATCATTTTGGGGTCGGTGAGCCCCGAGGTGGAGATGGGCAGAGAGGTTCTGCACATCACATCTCTGTGCGAGCGGCAGCGATGGTGTCGCAAGCAGGAAGCGCTGTGGTCACCCCGGGCACCAAAACTGGAGGGCCTGAGGGAAGTTGGCTGTGCCGGGGTGAGGGCTGGGGGACAGGGG